TGCAGTATAGGATGACTTGCACTGAACGGTACCAAACCTGACAAAATCAAATATAGTCCAACAATTGGTACAGCAAGCCAGACACTGCACACAGTGACCTGTGTGTGTCCCAACTCACACAGAATCCAACACCATTTCCCTGGGCCTTTCATCCTAAGTCTCACAAAATTCAACAACAGGTTCCTTAGGTACCACACCAAACCTGCCAAAACCTCACAAAACCTGCTGTTGGAGTATGGAAGATTTTGGGCAGTTAGGATTAAACACCTTTGGACATTTATCTCACATTTTCTTGAATTTTACAAACTACTTCTGGGATTGAGTTTCTGGGTTTTTTTCAAGGCAAGATAAGATCTGTTTGTGCACCTTTTTTGTAGGATACATGTTCCTGTATGTTCTGGTAATGTATTGCAATGTCACAGCACAGTGCCACATGCATGCCAGTGGCAGTGGTAGACAAATGCACTCGTATTTTTGGCTGTGAAAATTTTGTTAGTTAATGCATTTTTTCTAAAAAACCTACAGGAAGACCAGGAGATGAGAGAGATCAACATCACAAACATGGCTGCAGAAGGCCTACAGAAATCGGACCCATCGCAGTTTGAACTCCTGAAGGTCTTAGGCCAGGGATCATTTGGAAAGGTTTGTACATACTGTGGCTTCGTTGTCTTTTATGTGGACTGAACCAAGATTGATCTTCTCAAATTGAAACCCAAACACACTTCAGTGCTGCCCATGATCATACATGTACTGTTTGTGCATTCATATGCCTATCTCCAGACATCAACAGTGACTGGACCATGATGCCAGGAAATCCTGCTCTGTGATTCAACTCATGTTTCTAAGCATGTCTATATTTTGCATACATTACACATGTCTAATATGATTGAAACAAAATGCCCTATTCTGATGTGCAGATATTTTGTTATCACTTGAAAACTAAGGAAAATAAAGATGTGGAAAAGACAAACTGAGTAATGTGTTTAAAAATGATGATGTCAGTACAATAATTCTACAGAATCCTTACTTGTGCTGTACCAGTATACTGTAGTTGTACAAATTACAAGGACGGCCTTGACAAGTAATGATTATGGGAAGTGATCTACAGTCATACACATTCTTGCTGAAAAGCATGCCCAGTGATGTGGTGATTTGAATTTGACAGCTGCCATCAATACCCATTAAATATTGATGATTTCAACCATTGAGTCAACTCTTGATGGCTTTAGGGCAGGTTTTCAAGGTGATTAAGTGTGAAAATTGTGTGCTGGAACATGTACATGTACATTTGCCTGTGTACTGATACATTCTTATCCCTCCAAGAGGTGCTCAGACACTGTGTCAGATTCTGTTAAATGGGTAGTCCAACTCAATTCAGTCTAACTTTTCTTCTAAAAACAGGTCCAAACACTTTCAAAGTTACACAGGATCCTTTTTCATCTCAAAGCTACATGTAGAATGGTGATTTAAACCACCTCAGAGGGAGTACTTTACCCCAAAATTGTTTTAAAATTTAGAATTTTACAATCAGTTGCAAATAACACACAATTGTACAGGTACAATGGACAAAATCACTGTAATAGCTTCTTATGTCTAGGAATATCTCCAGCCACGATTTGGCAAAATTTAAGAGACGAACACTACTTCTTGGCCTGTTGAAAATTTCTATTCCTTTTAAATTTTATAATGAATAATTTGCTTGTTGAATTGTTGTAAGATTCCTGTCGCTTTTCCTTTTAATGTGCTTGAAACAAGCCTCCACAGTGCAACTGTTCTCAATTAAAACAAAAGAAAATTCTCCCTTTTCATGATCAATAATCGATTTGAATATTTGGAAATTCAGCGCAACCACAAGTTATATGTACACGCATATAACAGGTTTCTGTGGCACAGTTTCGTTGGTAAACAAGCGTATTAGTTAGCATCCTGCAGGCCAACGTACAGATAGTGTGGGCTATCAGGTGCTATTGTCAGATTGTCACACATAGATTACATGTAGGTACCAGGCTACGTACGGTGTACCTGTACTGGGATTTTACTCTTCATGGTTTGCAGTTTCATGCAGTTGTCACTCATCTCCGATTTCTTTTGCTGATCGTTGAACTATGCCAGTTGTAGGAAGCATTTCAAAATAATTCTTTATCGCAGCCAAGGCTTCTGATATTGATGAAAAACAGGTCTGTACCGTGTTGAGTGAACGGTAGCTGCATTTAAATCCCTGGCTGAACCCTGCAGGTGTGATTGTTGTGATGCATCTCTATTCTTCCATGAAAAACATCATCTGGTTAGTGGTATCACAACACTGTTAGTCTCCAATAGCTTCAGGCTGTGAGAAACAGTTTTAACTTTTACAGTGTCATCTAAAAAGCTGTCTGAACATAGCCCATGTGTGTTATGATTAGTTTTCCAAAAGGGGAGGGGGGACGTGAACGAAAGCAACAATGGTAAAATGCCTGCGAGCGTGTAGCGTAAAGCCTGTGGGGTCGGGGGAATGTTTGGATTCTAGGCGCTCTGTGGTACATGTTCAATTTCAGGGCAATATGACCCCTCTTTTGTTCTTCTCCATCCCTCTTTTACTTTATTCATTTATTTATTTTGGGGGGGTGAAAAAAGGGGGCGCGGGTCCCTCCCCCAGGATCGGTCCCTGATTCTGTGCACAACGCAGTGGTCCTACTTTCTGATGCCAAAGCATTGTTGCGTCAGTGTTACCAATACATCATTATATTGTCCCAAGTAATGATGACACCTTGCATGCAGCATGTTTATACCGGTAGCTACCCCTTACAGTCCCAAATCCCCAGATTTCAATATGATTTAACATACACCCTAGGCCTAGGGGGTTAGGGATTAAAATACAGGCATATACATGTACATACACATGTACATGTACTGGTAACATGTCAAGCAGCTGATGGGTGTTCTGTGTACTGTGGGTTCATGTACATTATATCCTCTTCTAGCTTTAGCAAAACATGCACAAAACTTGGCCCCTTCATGTGTATTTCAGTTTAGTTTTCAGATGTCAACACCTGTATGTTCCAGTATATACATGAATCTTTACATGGCTTTGTAACTGAGGTGCATGTAAATCAGCTTAATAAAGTGATATGCTTGAAATATTAAATCAAGTATGGGTGTCATCTGGTAGACTTGCATACTGCATCAGCAGTAATTCATTTATAAGAGGGATATCTTGGCTGTATGACGTCAGGGGAAATGGTAATTTGTTTAGATTTAATACAGAGGACCTCTGGTCCACAGAAAGTTGACATGTACCGATGCAGATGTACAAGCATGTACACGTACATGTAGTTACTTGTACTATATAAATCCCTTTAGCCTGGAGGTACTGCAGCAAGGATGACGGAATGATATACTGGTAATGTATGTAAGATGATCAGTGTAACTTGGTGCTGACTGCTGTTCTTCAAAATGTACAAAGCAGAAATTCATCGCTTCATTAGCCCAAACACTTTTTTGTACTTGGTCCCCATGCACAAGTCTTCTGGTAGCTTGTACTAGTACATGAACTGGTGTATGCATTACATATGTACAGTACACGTGTATGAACATGTACATGTACACCGGCAGGCAAAAGTCTTCACACACCCAGGTGGTTAATTCTTTTTTTTTGATTCGTTATCAAAATAAACAGACTGATCAGCAAACATCAAACCTGTCTTTAGTGTCACTACTTTTGTCAGTTTTAGTCTTATTTCACACTTTCAAGGGTCTAAATTAATATTGTTTCGTGACTAAATTTGCAACTCAGTTTTCAGTTAAATTGCCACATTGAATTGCCTCATGATGTATCCATCAGCTCATGAATATATAAACTGGGATGTTTAAACCAATGGGCAACAAAGTTTGCATGGCGAGAAACCATTTTTATTAATATTTATCAGGGTTGTCAATGAACAAATTGGATGAATTAGAAGACAGAACTTTAGGCTAGGTTTCTAAAAAGCTAAATTTGCATATATGAAAGCTTTCTCTCTCACACATCAAATTCACGATGGCTGGCAAAACTCCACTCACTGATCACAAAAAGGTGATGTTGGTGACTTAGTTGACAGACTGATATTCTGCCCACGAAACTGGAAGATGGCAAGGAGTAAATTATCCGACTGTAAGGTACATGTATAATCTCCCTGAGCTGAAAAAACAAATGGTTCTATGGATACGCTATCAAGGTCTGGTTGGCCCAGGGTGACTACTGAGGACCGCTGTGTTGTGCAGGCCTGGTGGCACAACCGGCTCCTGACTGCCCATGAATTGGTCGTTAACTTGTTATATCCAGCAAGAAATGAGACCGAGGGGTACCCTCCCCCAACATGTCCTATCCCTAAACACATTCCGGACTATTGTTACTAACACATCCCTCCTAAGACGTCTGAAAGGAATTCTCCAGATTCCTGCGAGACAATGACCAACACAAAGCAGGGGGGTTCTCTCCGTCTCATACCTTGCTGCATATGTAACTTGTAGCCTGTTTGTTTCACATGGATCTGGATCTCAGTTATCCTGAAGCTGGTTGGCACTAGCCATTGGGTTGGTTCTGGTGTCAGCGAACCAATTTCAGATCACTGATTGCAATCTGGATTGGTGGAAAACAAACGCCCTTGGCAAATGCCAAGGGGGAGGGGGGTCCAAGTTCATCGGAGCACTGTATCCAGAAGATTATAGGATGCTGGTCTCCTTGGCAGAGTTACCAGTCACAAGCCATGCCTCAGGGATGTCCGTAAACAATATGAACTGTACTGCCAGGGACTGGGCCAAAGTGGTCTGGAGCGATGAGTCCAGATTCCAGCTGTTCCAACCCAACGCTTGTGTCAGGTGATCAGTGGGAGAGGAGCTCAGCAAGACATGCATGATTCTGTCTGTGAAGCATTGGGGTTCTGGCATCATGGTTTTGGGGCATACCAGTATGGGGTGATCTGGTGATGGGAGCCTGGCGTGGGTCAAGGAGAATATCAATGTCCACATTTACAGCTACACGCTCCATGACCACGTACTGCCAGCTGGCCACTATTAGGGCGGCCATGAATTTTCCAACGCAATGTTCCACCCCACACAGCTCATGTCATGGGGGACTTCTTGAAACACCCAAACCCCTAATTCATTGGAAGTGATGAACTGGCTGGCCCAGAGTCCTGACTTGAATCTAATTGAGAATCTCTGGGATGAAGAACACTGTCTTTGCTATAAAGCTCAGCTGTGAAATAGGGAGGATCTTTATGAGATTCTCAAGCAGATTTGGGAGAGAATGGACTGCAAGGTCATCACTAATCTTATTGATTCAGTGTCAAGGAGATTGCTAGAGGGTCCTTCACACATTATTACTCATAAACTGATCCCCTCCCTTCTAACACAGGTATGGGTTAACTAGTTAACGTCGGATTTTCTTACCCCAAACCCCCCAAAAAGTTGCTTGGGGCATTTTGTTTTCCTGCAAATTCTTCAAACTTTACAATTTATTTTTGTTGCCCATCAGTATTTTCATTCCTTTCCCCGTTTTTTTCAACTGCCTTGGTAAAAATTGTGGCGCATATCCAGACGTCAACCAGTTCACTCATGGAAGGTCTATATACATGTAGGTGTCACCTGAGGCCATGGTCTTTTTGTCAATTATTTGATACAAAGGAGTTGCTAGTTGGGATTTTGTAATGTTATCTCTTTTGGGTAGTTTTGCTCCCTAGCAAATCAGCTTACCCAAACAAAGCAGGTCTTTAATCCCCATAGTTCTTTTGTGTGTGCTCCCCAATTTAATCCTAATTAATCAAGAAAGGCATTTCCGTTTTATTGTTGGTTGGGAGTGGGGCTACTTCTGTACTAAACAAGTGTACACACCCTCCATGAAACAAAAAAGGAAAATTGTGTGTTTTAACACATCAACCGGGCGTCAACTGGTTAAATGGTACATGTATCTTTACATCCATTTATACATGTAGTTTCAGTGTCATGTACACGTACATGTTTATAATATGTACCTTTACATGTGTAAATGCCACTCACGGTGACTGAAGACTTTTGCAGCCAGTGTATATTCAGTAATATGGGTGATTCACAATACAGTGTGCCACCAAGAGGTTATAGAGAGGCCAGTTTTGCAAATTTAGGGTCAACAAAATTTTGGCCAAATTGCGGCGATTGTTATTTGAGTGAATGTCATTAGACAACTTGAGGAAATATGTGATGGATCAGGGCATTCTGTACCTCACAAAAAGACACCATTGTAACAATGATACTCTAGTTCAAATGTTTAACCCAGATGGAAAACAGCAAAACAATCTAAGTTTCCCACGCAAGGCTTAGCTGGCACAGAGAATCTTTGTCGACAGTTTTCCTGCAGTGAACTGTGAAAAAAGGCCTCTCTGTGGCAACTTGTTGGTGGCACACAGTGTTTCCAATTGCCCTTGTTAGCTTCTCATGTTATTGTTGATGTTTATACATGTACTTACTGAAGGTGGTCTGGATGTATACAGGTGCAGGGGCATACCTCATGTGTGCTGTTTGAACAACATCTTGGCTATTAGTTCACTGTTGCAAATGCTGGAATTACTGGAATGTTGACCAATTATTGAACTTAGCAAGTACACATTTATTCTAGAAGCTTCCATTAGATGTGGTAATAATAACAATTATTTACAGAAGATTTATAACGCGCCAGTATCCGCCAAAAATGATGCTCATGGTGCAATACAGATATGAATTAAGTACAATTATCAAGAAATAATGTAAAGATCGTTGAGTAAGTGGGTTTTAAGAGAAACCTTGAAGTCAGTGATGGAGGAGATAGTGCAAACATCTGAAGGGAGTTTGTTCCAAAGATGTAGGCCCACCTGAGAAAGGGATGTATCCCCCATGAATTGTGTGTTTTGGGAACAGCAAAGAGGGAAGCATTGGATGATCTCCAATGCCTGGAGGGTTGGTCATCAGCCAGCAAATCAATGTTGTACATGTATGTTGGAGCAGGACCACGAAGGGCATAAAAATGAGTGAAAGAAATTTGCCTTTAATCTTGTCAGCTATAGGGAGCCAGTGCAGAGATTGTACATGTACATGTACCTACTGATGAAATTTCTTGGGTCATGTTGAAAAATTAAGGCTGGTCAGGAAACCGGAAGCAGAAGCTTTTTGATTGCGTAATTTTACATGCACATGCATATTGGTGTTTGTGTTAAATGATTTTAGCAATTGTATTCACTGTTTATTTTTTCTCTGAAATTACTGGGACAAAACACGAGGAAAAGAAGATGGGTACATTTATGTACCAAATGATGTCAAGATGTCTCTAGTGTTTTTGGAAAATGTTGATTGGAGGCATTAGAAGCCATGGGTTTGAGTTTGGTCAAAAAGTCGAAACATCAGAGCTTTGTTATTTATTGTACACTTGATTTAGTCAAATTGAGCTGTGCAAATCTCTGACAGAATATGTACAGTACACGTGTCCAACTTGTTCGTCTCCAAAGACTCCAAAATTCCGCTGCTCGTATTGTGACTCTGACTTCTTCAAGGGTTCACATGACACAAATTCTACACTCTCTGCACTGGCTCCCTGTTTCTGACAAGATTGATAAGGTTAAGTACACAATACTTTGACTTGTTTTTCGTGCCTTTCTTCATGGTTCTACTCCTACATACAACATTGATTTGCTGGCTCATGACCAACCTTCCGAGCGATTAAGATCATCTCATGCTTCCGGGCATGCTGTCCCCAAAACACACAATTCATGGGGAATGCATTCCTTTCTCAGGTGGGCCTACATCTATGGAACAACTCCCTTCAAATATTCGCACCATCTCCTCCATTACTGACTTTGAAATTTCTCTTTAAACCCACGTTTTAAAGGATTGTTATATTATTTCCGGTTAACTTTACTTGGTTTAATTTTGTATCAACGCACCATGATTGTCACTTTTTGGTAGATACCATCATACAGGTGCATACATTTTCCATTGCCATGTGAGAGGATAATCGTAGCAAGACCATAGCGAGACCATTGCAAGACAATAGGAAGGCCATAGCAAGACCATACCGGTAGCAAGACCATAGCAAGACCATTGCAAGACAATAGGAAGGCCATAGCAAGACCATACCGGTAGCAAGACCATAACAAGACCAGCTGACCTCCACATCAAGTGCTGGTTAATGCTGTTCGTTAATGCTTTGTACCTATTTCAAGAGTAGAACCTTTACAGTTACATGGATCTGGGTAACCAGTGAATATCTAGTACTGGTAGTAAGCCAACTTGAGCTGAGCAGAGGATTGAGTACCAGTATGTCATTTATGTGTGCATTTTATATTAACCTTTTGAACAGGTATTCCTTGTACGAAAGGTGTTTGGTGAGGACAGCGGTACCCTGTATGCAATGAAAGTCCTTAAAAAAGCCACATTAAAAGGTAAAATCGACATAGTGAATTTTACTTACATGTATGCTACATGTAGGCCTGTTCATCATTTAATTGTGAAGTTACTGTATCAAATTCATTCCAAACAGACTGATTACATGTATAGCTACAAGTTTCCTAATGTACATTCCAAACCCAGAAGCACAGCCAAGATAGAAGTAATATACATGTAGATGGAGAGTAAAAATGCCTGTTAATAAAACCTTGTCTTATAAAATCCCCCTTTCATTGCTTACAAAATACTTACAGGTCCAGGTACATTACATATACATGTAAATGATAAGTTTGCAGCATATGTTCCAAAGACAGTTTCAAGCATGGCACACTTCATTTCTTACATTGTCAAGAAGTTTGAAACACATGTTCAGTATCCTGAATACATACTACATGATTTGACTGTTTACATACCATCCTCATGCTACATGTACATGTATATGGTGGTTGATGTTCATGTTTTGAATGTTCTCAGATAATCAGATTACTTGGAAGAAAGTTGTTTTTGTTCATGATTGTCAAATGTTTGTATACACACACACATGTATCAGTTCTGTGATATGCTTACATGTACAGTGTATACACTGTAGTATTGTCTGTCGATGACATCACTTTATTTTCTTTTGCCAGTGCGTGATCGTGTGCGAACCAAAATGGAAAGAAATATTCTTGTAGATGTTAATCATCCTTTCATCGTCAAGCTACACTATGGTAAGATTAGTTTGTGTAAGGGCCCATATACACAGTGTATATAGACAAGCTACAACCGAATGTAGTGAAAATGGTACATGTAGGCAGCCTTATGTTGTACAAACATTTACACACAAGGTACATGTACATGTAGAAACCACTTGGTACATGCGTGTCAATTACTGGCACTCCACAGTAACAACAGTATCCCAGGGGAAGAATCAAGCTTGGAAGGCACCATAAGGATGTGTTCAACGATGCCAGTCAGTCCCTGATGTCGTACCTAATGAGACCATTGATTATAATGCAGTATCTTTGAAAACTCGCTTGGGTTTCTACCTGTATACAGTTCTGGTCCATCACACTATCAGGCGGTTTGGCTGCCTTCATTATAAACAGTTCCATAGAACCACTGTGTTGGATATTTGTATCCATGCGGAATGTCTTTCATTGCATCATGATGGATATTTTCACTGAGTAAATGAGCCCTTCCATCAGTGAAAGTTTAAAAAAGAAGTTGAGCCTTTGTTGTGTCTAAATGTGGTCACATTATCTTAAAATACATGCACTTGAGCAGTAATTGTAACTTTTCTCCAATTTTAGCTTGTGGAAGACAGTTGCTTTGTTTAAAAGCCATTTAAGTTCACTTCATTTCAGATGATAAGGGAGTTTCATAGTTTTGCATATTGTCTTGTGACTTTCCTTTCAGAAAACCTAAAACAAGTACCCTTATTGAGAATAGTAAGAGTTCATGTGCAGATGCATTGTTCGCCCCTGCATGGTGCATTTTCCCCTCAATAAATCCCTTGGCTGTCGTAGCTGATTTGCAATCCATTATGTTACTTAATACGGAAAATGTACTTGTACTCACACTCCTGTGATATTCACACTTGACAATGTTTGTTCACCTGTATTTGTACTTGCATCTCTGTTCATAAATACCTCAGACAGTCTCTCTATTAAACAATGTGAAACTTGACCTTGTATTAACATTTGATAATACCCACTGAAGTGATAATGCCCGCAGTGTAAATCATGCGCTGGCACCTGGATACAAGACAGTTTAATCATTTCTGATTGGTTAAGAGTGTACGTGGCTCACCATGCATGTGCCAATTGGACAATTTGCACAAGGAATATTCCATAAAATTGCAAGAGGTGTTAGGGAAACTGAAAGTAAGTTTCTAGCACAAAATCGCTGGAATTCATCATACATTGTATATTGACTTCTTTCGACTCTATGACTAAAAGGTATTTATGAATGGGAATAAATATGTACTTGACCGATCTTAAACTAATGATTAAAGACATGTGTTTAAAACCGGCTCAGGAGACGAACGCAGACAGTGCCCTCGCCTGCTGCTTGGGCATTAGTCACGTCCAGTCTCCTGAGCTGGTCCACACATTTAAGACCGGCCAAGCACATACATTTTATGTACATGTACCTGTATTGATTCCGTCATTCTACCTTTGTGAGTGTGACATTACGATCTCACATCTGACACAACTCTCATGTCTTTTGTTCATTGAAACCATCACTTTTGGATGCAGCATTCCAAACAGAAGGCAAGTTGTATCTCATCCTTGATTTTCTGCGAGGTGGTGATCTTTTTACCAGACTTTCCAAAGAGGTAAGCCATTCCATTTACCACTAGTGTTTGACATCTCAGTGGCCATTGATATTCTTACATGCACTTCAAAACTTTTATGGTATTGTCAAGTTTTATGAACAAGCCTTGAGGATACTCTATACTTTCAATCCATTCATGTATCTTTGTTCCCATTGTAAATAATCTACTTTGCAAAAACTGGAAAGCAATTTTCAGATTACCGGGGAAAGAATTTTACATTCGGTGATATGATATTAAAAGAAGTACCACATACAGGCAGGGGTTTAGATAACGTGCATATTGACGTATATACACTTCCTGACTCTGAAGTGTAGTCGAATACACAGCATAAAACCTCATGCAGAACGTAAAATATGCAGTGATTTCTACTATAGAAAGAATACCATAAGTTTCTATATTTTTCAAGTTTTGTCAATTACGCATGTACACTCTGCCCAACTGAGTAACATTCACAGCGGACGCTACTGAAACTGATTTGTTCATGTTCCCGCTGCTGCGTGCATAACCATGATAAATTATTCAGAAAATCCTGAATCAACGGGAAAGACCCCAAGCAAAATGTTTTTAGGCGTCGTGTTTAGGAGTGCAGCTGTAGACCAAAATGGGCTATTGCACATGGATTGGTTTTGTGTACAAAAATGTGGTCACCAGACTCCCCGTAGACCGATGCAGTAAAATTGATGTCTAGCCCACAGGTACCACACTATTTTCATCAATATTTGCACAAATAGATAGGGTTTGAGTTGCCCAAACTCTTCATTGAAAGTTCTGTGGAAAAATGTGAAGTTTTCTGTAAGTTTTGATCCGTTAAAAATGTGCATTTTTTAACCCCTTCATGCGACTGCTGGGCTGCGGTATGCCCAGTATGCAAAGCTGTGTCCAGCAGCAGGCCCACATTGAAACTGCAGGTGCATGATGAATAGAGTGTATGTGTGCTATGCACTAATCTTCACACAAAGCCACGGCTGTTGACATCTCCCGGAGCGAAGGGGTTAAGTGGTGTTTTAGAGGCTTTCCGATCTACAAGAAACTAGGTATCATTATTTGAAAATTTGGGTCTGAAACACCTGAGAAAGATTAAGGTTTAGATTGTGAGTGTGAGTGCATTTGACCGCCGCACAATGAAGTGCACCTTGATTTTCGGAACGGCCAGCAACCTCGTTCCCATGGGTACGATCTTGCAGTGCCATGTTGGTTTCCACCATGCCTTCCACAATCTAATCCCTGGTATTGTATAATTTAAATATCCCTTTATTTGGGATATTTAAGTTAGGACTTTATTCAGTGTGTTTATGCACGACAAAGATTTACGCATGCGTGACGTGCAGGAGAATATGTCAGCACCAGCGTGTTGCTTTGAAATACGCGTGCAATTCACTTTACATTTATGTTTATGTATGTATTGTAGCCCATGTGCAGGCAGTCCAAACACTGACTCTGTGGTAGTGTGACTGCAGAGGGGACAGGTCATGTGAATATGCATAGGAAAACCCAAGTGAAAACAAGTCCCAACTATGTGCTGCGCATTGCGCTGTAAATGCAATAGACCAAATGACAGGAACATTTTGCTACACAAAGATACAATATTTAAGGGTGTTGTTGCATGTTTATCAATGCAAAAGAAAAGTTTCAAGTAGCAACAACATTAAATCTCAGAAAAACAATAATTCTTGAGCCAAACTGTGCACTATTAGAATTAAAAATAAGAAGGAAAATAACCCCAAAACGGTGCCATTGTAGAATGAGTTGATTTTGGTTATGTTCACGTGTAGGCCTGCATGTACATGTACATGTATTATGATTCCGTAACGTGAGAGGTTTCATTCGATTGAAATTTAGATACATGTAACTCGATTTTTAAGCCATTCCCCTGAGATTCAAGTTGTCAAGATGTTACTGTCTTTTATTTCATTTTTGAAAAATTTATAAATGTAATTTAAGTCACAAAGTAGTCCTGTGCAGTGTTAGTTCCCAAACGTAAGGGAAGTAAGCACACCAGTGCAGTGCTAGAACCAGTTGCTTGGCAGTATAGTGTAAAATATTTGACTACCACAACATTTGTTATAATTTTAATAATAATTATGGGTACTGGGGTGCACGCTTGTTACAAGAATCAGGTACCTGGTTCCATACTATCCATAAATGCATACAACCAGTGTATGAGTGCCATTAAGCCATCGGTACATTGTAATTCCAGTATGATGCAGGTCTGCTTTATCCACCCTGACCTGAAGCACGCCCTCACCAGCGAAGAGGGACCATTGGAATGATGCGAATGTGGGATACGTATGCTTGGTTATTTTGCTGAACTGTGCAGTTATTTCAAAAACCTACGCATTTATTTTTGAAGGGGGAGGGGATAAACGTCTCTGGCAGGAAATGTGAGTCGGTAGACCAGAAATCAAACATACATGTACGTTTACCGGTACTAGTGGGTTCCACTGTGGAGAGTGTGATCGGAGCCCTGGGCATTGGCAAAAATGGTCATGACTAGAGCTTACCGGTACTATACAAAGGGTCACATGACCACAGGTGTCTCTTTTGCTATTAGAAAATGTCCGCTGTGGGATCATGTAACATTTGGAGTGTTGGATCATACATGAAGGACCAATATACATGTATGATTGTTGCTTGTTATGTAGAAGTCAGTGGGTCCTTTCACGCGAATGACACATCTGTGGTGTTTGGCGCCAAGGGTCGACTGCAATTTCATTGCAAGCTTTCACACGGTACAACACAGCACATTAGCAAAAGTCCCTCATTTTGCAGCATTTGCATTTCTATCACAGGTACTGTGATATTCTCTGAATGGTGAAATTATAGGGTACCGGTATTTTCCTGCCATATGGCTCATGTTTTTGGCAAGATTCCATGAACATTTATTTATGAATTTAGTGATGACAAGACGTTATTGCCCATTGGAGGCTGCCCTAGTTATGCACATGTCTGTCATCTTGATTTTGTTGGTAGATTTCGTGACAATTCAGGGGTTTCTGTTCATCGGACTCACAAGTAGATATCGGCAGCATGATTTTCACTGCTGGTTAGTACATGCAGCTTTGTTTGCCAGCTCCTAGTGTCACACTTTATTATAGCTGTCCACTTTGAAAATGGAAGATATCAAGCTCAGTCACTGGAAATGTGAAGCAATTTTTGTCCCTTTTTGTTCTTATTTAAGACTCTAAAGGAAATTTTTTTAAAGGGATAGTAAAGTTCAGTTTGTTTGGGGCAATGTGGCTCTGGAGCATAAGGTACTAACGTCATAGATTTGAAGAGTAAAATGACTGCGGTTGCACTATGTACCGGTATCAATTGCTTTCTTGAGTATGTGTGGTTCCCGGTTCTTCTCAATGGTATTTTGTATACCTGAGGGGCAAATGGCACTCGAGTTGAAGCCTCGGGTACGATGCTCTGGGGGTATAAAAAACCCAAGGACCCCATCACAACGGGCAACAATTATTTTGTTATACCACTGAAATTGTCTTCGCCAACAAAGTGTATACACGTAGTTAACAACTTAACTAAATTGAATGATTGGTAGGGATTGCGATCTTTGGTCTTGACAGGTACATGTAAACAGGTAGTTGAACTA